CTGTGTAATGAGCCGAGTCTGTTCTGATTAAATTGTACTTACTGTTCAGAGTCCCAAATACAACAGTACGGACCCTGTTTTCTTTCTGTACTTGTAGGAACAAAACACACTTCTTCTACCTATACAACTACCTAGAATTTAATTCTGAGATAAAGAATATACAATGTAAATAATCATTTCATTTTGTTGAATGCTCCTGAAGTTTACTATCCTCCAGTGTTTACAAGTGGCTCATAACTTCACATTAATTTCTGCTACTCTTCTGTAGAATTACATATTGAAGAAAAAGGAAAAGAAAAATTGTTGTTTTTATGTAAATTTCTCTTTCCTGTCTCCATATCTTTTTATACTCTTCTCTATGTAAAGATGGATTTGAAATTTAGCTCTTTTTTTATTTCTCTCTATGTGTGTGCCCTGCAAACCACTGTCTTTCTGCCTGTCTTTGTCATTCTATCTGTCTGTCTTTCTTCCTGTCTTGTTTTGCTGTTTGTTTTGTTATTCTTTGCAAGACCGGTGTTATTATGTCATAGAATGTCAAATATGCATCTATTACCTCCATATACTAGAAATAATATTCTTTGCAGCTGAGTCAAGAATGACAAATAGCAACCAAGCACTTCATTCTCTTGGGATTCAAATATAATATATCTCCTTTCTTTGCTGTACTCTGATGAATAAAGTGAGTTGATCCTGCATATAGTGCATGTAATAGTCATAGAGTATTGAATCAAGGAATTTGGAGTCAGACAGTCTCTGAATAGATTCCAACATAAGTGATTGCTGTATGAAAAAATATTTGAAGATAAAAAGATTTGAGAGCCTCTAAAAGAATGAACATAATCTGCATTGAACAAATAATCCTGCCTTAGTTGTTTGCTAGAAACAGATAGTGCAGTCTAATGAAGAACTTTATTTTTATGTTGTTACTTGCTAACACTCTAAGTTATCCAGTTAGTTAGTCAAGCTGAAGTGATCAATAAAAATCTACCAACCAAATATTGAAAATTTCTTGATTTAGGCTTAAACTACTGGAAAACCATTAGACTGCTAAAACTAAGAAGTCTGCAGACAATACCAATTTTTTGATTATATTTGAATTAACTTCTCCCAGAAGTTCGTTTTTCTTAATTTCGCTATTCTTACATGCATGAAATTGATAACACTTATTATGTGCATCTTAGAGGTAGTGCTATCCATAATTTCTCAAATGATAGGTGAGATGCTTGAAATGCAGCACAGCATGATTGCAGAATGGCATGAATTTATAAGCAACTCTATTCAGCTATCTGTCTTTGTTTTAAAGGATCAAAGCAAAACAAACAAACAAACAAACAAACAAACAAAACAACCAAAAATGAAAAAGTCTTTCAAAGCAATTAACTTAGGAAGAGTCTACCTTATGAAAAGTATTTATATTCTAGACACGAATGGTTTCATTAAATTTTCTATGATGTGATGCTAAAGATAAAAACATTTCTTACTAAAAAAGTGAGTATGTAGAGGTCTTGTATACTACGTCATGTTTGCAATGTTAAAATGAACTGCAAGAATGTAGAAATGATAAAATAACACTGGAGCTATTGGAAAAGCAGTATTATGAGTTTTCAAAAGCAATATTGCAAAGTCTAAAATACTGTAGTAGTTTTTAATTTCATTGCAAAATCATGAAATAGCTGAAGTACTGTTTGCATAGAAAGTTTAGAGAACATGAAGGAAAGGGTCTTTGCAGGGGTGGAAAGGAAGTCTATCCCATCTTAAAAAAGTAAAAAAAGAGAAGGTTAGGATTAGGATTTTAAAAAATAGTGCAATTTTGATGTGAATTATGTTTGCAAAAAAATATAAATAAGTTGTGCTAATAGAGATTTTTACAGCATTCAAAAGATGTATTCATCTCAAATTCTCAATTCACCTTGGCTTGGCCCCTTTGTTTTCAAAGGAAACATCCATCTACATTATTTTGTATTTCCTTATTCATCTTACCAATTTATCTTTTCTTGACTTGAAAGTAATTTTCTTTAAAAGTGAAGTTACCTTTGTTTATTCATGTAGGCATCTATGACCCTGAAATCATGAAAGACTGGGGATGAATTTTGAAAAGAAATAGAAAAAGTAATAGTATTAATAGATTAATTTTTAGGTGAAACAGCTACCTGGAATGCAGTGCTCAGAGCAGTATTCTGATGCAAACCTTAAATAGCATTTGCTTCCAAAAAAGACCTGTGTCTTGCCAGCATTTCCTGTTATACATCATAGCAGTCCAAACTAATTTTTTTATACTTCACTTTCCTATGACTAGGGTAGAAAACAGTTTAAAAAGCCTACAGCCATTTCTTTCTACACACTTGCTTCTTGTGTCTGTGACCATTTCCAGGGATGCCTTTCACCTATGTATAATATGAATTGATGCTTTGTTCCCCAAGCCTGTGATCTTGGGGAAGATTTTGCAGATCTGTAATCTGCATTTATTTCTTGTGCCAGTGGGAAACCCAGATGTTCTCAGTGGATTATCGTAAATGTAGTCTTAACTGCTCTAACTCTTAATCCAAAGAATACTTGGATCATTATGAACAGCACTGATGCCCATATTTAGAGTAGTGTGGTTCCCACATTCAAAGCATCTTTTTTTTTTTTTTTTTTTTTCATTTTCCACTGCAAAAAGCTCTTTTATTCAATTAAAGAATAGGCACATTTGAGGCTTAAAATGTGCTTTCTTGCTTTATAAATTCAGGGAGGAAAAAGTTGTTATTCACTAACTTCGAGTTGCTAACAGACTTTTGGCCAATTGTCTTTGAAATAAATAATTGGTTGAGGAATTATGCTTCTTTGCTTAAGCAGAGACTTAAATTTTAACTTAGTTAATTTTCAGAATTATGTTGTATATATATATACAGATCACAAAACATATTCTTTGAAAAATCAGAATTGTCAAAGTGGGATTCTTGAATTATATTAAGTACTAGATTTGCACTCAGTTGCCAATAATAACTTTTTTGTTGTTATTATTATGTTTATGGGCATAATGTCTCTTTACCTTTCTTGTGATGTATCTTAAAAGCAAAAGCTTAATACAAAAATAACTAACTTCAGCTTCAATGAATGTTTGAATTCTTGGCTATAAATTAAGGTTGCACAACATGTAAACAAAATTTGAGATAGGCACACAACTAAACACAATTCACCTCACCTGCACAATGAATGAGGCAGACCCATGAAATAGCTTGTGGTCACCTAAATAAAACTTATTCAGTCTAATACAAACAAGAAAAGGGATTGACTGTTTTCTCAGTTTCCCCCATTTGCTAAAGTTTGCCTGTTTTTTTAAACTTAATTTCTTGTAATAAAACTTGGCTGATTTATATAATCTCCCTCTCTCTACACACATGCAGATCTGTATACATATTATGATCCCATACATATATGTCCTCATAATGCAGATTTATATTTACATAATGGAGATTTTTATAATGAATATGATTTTATAGTTTATGATTACTGTGATTAATGTTTTGAGCATACAGTGTGTTCTTTCTACCTCAGAGCCATATGAAAATAATTAACATTTTACCTGAGCAATATCACAAATTTACTTTGGATTTTGTGAATTTAAATGTAGAAGTGGTACTAGTTTTGCTAGAGTTTTATACAATTTAATATATACGAATGGAACATGATACACCACTCTTGCATAAAACATTTGCTTTCGAATATATTTCATTAGATTCTATGAATTGGAATTTTGGAAAAAGAATTCTGCTGGAGTTTAAAATGTCTCAGTTTCTATAGGGAAAATGTAGTTTCTCAGATCACTTAAATCTATTGACATGTGCATCAGTATAGTAATTAACCTAGTAAAGTAAATCCAAGAGTTAGTTTGTAAAAAAAAAAAAAAAAAAAAAAGGAAAAAAAAAAGTGCTGTTGCAGGGTTGCAGGGTAGACCCCTCTTTCCTTCAGTAGATTGGAAAAACCCACATACTGTTTTGGAACATGATGAAAAAAACCCTCAGCTTATGTAGTCTGATTTAAGCTCTCCCAACTCCTCCACTTGATTTAATAAACACTGGAAGAGTAGCATGAACTGATGAGTAGTCATTATGCTGACTAAAGAGGAGGGGAAATTTTTTGTATTTTTATTCTGATATTTCAGCTTACCTGTGTCTGGAATTCAGGTCTCCCATATGGAGGATGAGTGATCTTAATACTATCTATTTCAGCTCTTTGGTTGGAAGGACTCTTCATCTTAAACACGTGTTTATTGGGTGAGATGTTATTAGACTTGTACAGGCTTGTATGTTGATTTGTGCTAACACATGCATTGTATTCAGTAGACACAATTTAGACTCAACATTTTTGAACATCAAAGAGTAGGCTGGAAAAGATACAGATGGCTGTTTGGGGAACAGAAAAATCTAAAACATGCTAAACTTTTTTGTTGTTGTTGTTTAAAAAATATACATTGTTTTCTAGAAGGAACATACAGTTGTACACTGACATGTTTTTATATTTGATTTCCTTTATTTGTGTAAAGGACAGGGTTGGAATGTATTCAGTTGTATGCTCAGATCTTTTAGTCAGTAGCAGCGTTTATAACTAGCTTCTTCAATACCTTCATTTCTTTCTTCACAAGAAAACCTTTAAACCAAAAAGTCCAAAAGAATTAATTACCATATGATTAAGATCAAATCTGTCACTTATTTTTTCTTCAAAATTTAGAGTTATTTGTTCTTCAGCCTGTTAAGTAACTGTTCTTGAATGTATTCCAGATTTAGAGGGCTATTCTTAGGAATGTTTAATATTTATTTAGGAATGTTCAATATTTACTTGAATAAAAAGATGTTAGACCTGGTTCTTTTAAAAAATGTTTTTTCATATCCTCATACTTTTGAAAATTTCAATAAAAATAAGCAACTAAGATATAGGGCAAAGTCTTGTTCTATAAACAGATTTGACCAGCAAGCCAAATGATCAATTGGAGGGAGAAGAGTCTGAGTTTGTTTGTTGTTCTCTGTTTTCATAATGAAACGATGGATCACATACTGAAATAGAGGTTCACATCAAAATCAAGGAATATCAGTTCCTGTTATTTGGTCAGCATTCTATTTGTCTATGCATATTAATTTATTCTTTTCAGTTTCTTTGTTGATTTATTCCATTACATTTTATTATTGGGAAAAAGAAAAAAAAGAAAAAAAAAAAGAAAAATTAATGGAGTTGTACACTGAAAAGAACTCAAGCAGTTCAAGAGAAACGGTCAGCATTTGTTTTTGTTACTGTCTGACTTGATGCCATGTACTTGTAAACAGCAATACCATTTTATACATCCCACATTAGCCTGTAGCACTGGGCAAAAAAGAGGAGGTGTTCAACAGTCCAATTCATTACTTTATGTTTAGTGATTACCTATTTATCTGATCAAATAACCTTATTTATAAAAATCAACACAACTGTTTTGGTGTAGAACGTACTTCACAAATACTCCACGAATGTATAAGAACTCAGAAAAGACAGCCTCAACTGTGCTACAGAGTGTCCTGATAGGGGCCTTTCAATATCTAAAGTGGGCAATAAGAAGGACAGGGACAGACTTTTTAACAGGGTCTGTGGTAATAGGACAGGGAGAAGTTGGTTTAAAACTAAAAGAGAGGAGATCTAGATTGGATATATGAAAAAGCTTTTCATGATGAGAGTAGTGAAGCACTGGATGCTCAGAGGACTGGATGCTCACAGGGTAGTGAATGCCCCAACCCTGGCGATGTTCAAGGCCAGGCTGGACGAGGCTCTGAGCATCTGATCTAGTTGTAGAAGCCCCTGTTCTGCTGGGGAGTTAGACTAGATGACCTTTAAAGGTCCCTTCCAGTACAAATGGTTCTATGATAGTCAGCTATCAATGGAGAGATCAGAGAAATCAATGAGATTTTCTTGCCTCTAGGCTGGATGAAAAGCTAAGTGCCAAAAAAGTCACAGGTGTTAAGCTACTACAGAAACTTACTATGGCACATAGCAGGGGTGTTGGAGCCAGATGATCATTGTGGTCCTTTTCAACCCAGCCCATTCTATGATGATGATTCTATGTATCTTTTGCTTTGTAGTAGCTTTTTGGTCCAGGAGTAAATTAAAGACAGTTTTGTTTGTTTTTTCCAGTAGTAGGCTGCCTTGTTTTATCTTGCAGGATGGAAAAGGACAATTCAAACATTACACAGTTTCCTTCTAGACATAAATTCCCTTTTTTTTGTTAAGCCCCTGTTCAGCATCCTTGGTATTTAACTGCATCTCTCCTAGATATATACTTTGAGATACATTGGGTTCTTTCATCATCAATCTCTACAAATATCTTCAAATTCCATCTGCAAAAGTATTCACATTTCTTCATCTATTTCAGTCTGAGTTGAGGGTTCATTAAAGGGGGAGAATTTTGACTCGTGAAAAACAGAAAAGCAAAAAATATCTCCAAAAAAAGGACAAGAATGATGAATATAGTTCGTTATTAAGAAAACTCTGTACACAGGACATTGCTACGGATAAAAGCTGCAGAAAAATGCTCGTGGCCTAATATGTTTTTGAGAAATCGTAGTGAAATTTGTGTCTGTGAGGTCTTACACTCATGACTTTCAAAGAAACTGCATGTGTTCTTTCTTTGGTTTTGTGATAGAAAAACAAACTTTTAAATCGCTGTGGGGAAAAGCTCTGTTTATTTATAATTGCACCTGTTCTTGCATAATAGGAAATACAGTTTGAGCCATGCTTTCCTGGAATTGTTGTCTGACTGGTGCAGTTGTTTACTAAATCTGATACTCTTATGTTGTCTTTCAAGAGATGTTTTATTTCTTCTACTATATTTATTTATATAAAACCTCTGGCATGTTCTTCTTTACATTAGTATCCTAGTTATGTTTCCTGATCTTCCTCTGTGGGTATCCTTTGTGCCTGCACAGTAACATCCCAAATCATCAAATTTGATTCCTTTATGATGTTGCCTTAACAGAAAAAACAATATTATTGTTGGCCAACTTGGAGGTAATGAAAACAGTGCTGTGCACATTATATCCGCAGTCTGAGAAGCTTTTTTGGTTATTTAACCTCTTTAGAATATTTTGTTTACTTTCAATCTTAAGGTCTGTAAAGCAACCTTATCATTTTAAACACTTACAAGAATTATACCCTTGCCTAGTGGCATTTCCTTCCCTCACCCAGGAGGTTTCAGTTTTGGAAGTTTTCAAGAAATATTAAACATAGTTCATGATGTATATTGCCATGACCAAATAAGCAGAATTTAAATTTTCAACATTTAAATTTTAAATCTAGAAACTTTAATGCATTTACCTCTGTATGGGAGAACTGCTTATGTTCAGTCAAACTCTTATTTAATTCCATTAGTAAGAACTCATCGAGTAGCCCTGCAGAGAATTACTTGTAAGTCCTGGTGGATAGAAAGCTGGACACGATCCAGCAGTGTGCTCTTGCAGCCCCAAAAGCCAACTGTATCCTGGGCTGCATCCATAGAGGAGTGACCAGCAGGGAGAGGGAGGTGATGGTATCTTTGTCTGTATCTATGCAGTATCTAGAGTTACTGCATCCAGACCTGGCCTCTACCCCTCAACCCCCCGCTTCCCCAGGAAAGGCACAAGCAATTACAGTGGGTCAAGAGGAGGGACACAAGATAATCAGAGGGCTGGAGCACCCCTCCTATGAAAAAAGGTTAAGGGAGCTGGTCTTGTTTGGTCTGGAGAAGAGGAGGCTCTGAGGAAACCTCAGTGTGGCATTCCAGTACTTTAGGGGAGCTTATAATTAGGAGGGAAACTTTTTTCAGGGGCAGATAGTGATAGGACAAGAAAATTTGTTGTGACTGGAGCTGTAACAAAATCAAATTTGTTAGTGTAGAACAAAAGCAGCATTACTTAATGGTCAGGCCTTTTGACTTCTTTGTCAGGGAGATGAACACTGTTCTTATATTGCACAATAGCTACTAGGTGAAGCTTCTTGACATCTTTACTAGGCAAGTTTCTTGACATCTCTTAACATGGCATGTAATGATCTTTTTCTCCTTTAAAAGACAATTTGATGAAATTCTACTGATGAATAGGATTATTATTAACTATTTTTATTTAATTTTATACTATACTATACTACTATTAATCAAGGATAGTATTTTCTTCTCTTTAATTAAAAAATAAGTTGCATTATTCTTGATATTTTCTCTGGAAATCTGTTTCATTGTAAAGTAACAAAATATTTAGCTTTTTGCACAATTGTAGGTTTAGGGGGAAATAGTATATACTAAACAATTAATTTAATCTCCATTAATTAGACAGTCAGACAGACCAGTAGAGGATAAATATGGACAATAGTTAATAGGAGGAACATAGACTAAATAATTAATATTAAGCAATACAATATGCATTAATGCAATGCAATGCCTAATTTAGTGTTGAAAGACTACACCTGCTACTATAGTGAACAAGCCAAAGTACTTACTGTTTTGTAACCAAATTGCTTATACTGTTGAATGAGGAGCATGTTCCCTGCTGTGTTTTTTGTGCTCCCTCAAACAGCATCCAGTTGGAAAGGAGAGGCACGTAACAGTTAGAATTCCAAAAAATTAGAAGTTGCAATAGTACTCTGGGAAAGAGCTAGTAGGAACTAACATGTTGCTGTAAAGTTTATGTCATAATTTACGTCCAAAGTTATTTGACTAACACCATCTGCCTCCTATATATCTGGCTCATTACAATTTCATGCTTATGATACCAGTATTTTTATGAATTCGTTTGCTGCTTAGAAAGAGTCCACAACACTACATTCCTGTCAAAGAAATGAATTCTCTTCCTATAAAGGATAAGTTTGTGTTTGGGAGCTCTTGAGTAATGGCCTGAACTACTGATTGATCACTTGAGGCAAGGACTGAATCAGCCATGGGAGCACAGGTGAAGGCAATTCAGCTGTGTGATCGGAAGAGGTGGAGCCTGGCTGCACCTCTCCTAGATCCCATGTAAGGACTGGTTGTCAGTAGGGAAGGATTTCTTTCTGGAGATCCCTCTTTTTGGAGTTTTCTACTGTGAGCCTAGGACTTGGGTGAGCATTTCATTTTTGATTGTTTCTTTCTGCCACGATAATCTTTCTAACTATAAACCTGTAAAATACCATCCTAACCATGCCACTCTTCTAACTGTAATTTGTTAATTGTGCAGTGTGCTTTACAGAATAAAATGTTAACTGGTAAAGTGAATCCAGTCTTGGCAGCGAGGTATAGCTGAACAGTACATCACAAGGCTAAATCACAAGTATGTAAACTTTGCTTAATTTTGTTTGCTTGTTGCTGTTCCATTGATGCTATTTGGTCAGTAGGGGGAACGCTCTCCAAAATGACGAAGTAAATAAGAAGCAGTGATTTTCGTAGTCGAGGTGAAACTTAAGAGTTTTGTGATCTGCCATTATGGGCTCTATAATCCTATCTGGAGACAATATTGCTATAGAATATATTTCTAGAGAGAGGAAATACCTAAAAGGTGTATCCCCTGTAAGTGCTGGAGAACTTTGCCTGTGTAGACCTTTACCACTTAGCCATGATTTCTGGAGAGCTGTTACCTGATGGTCTACTAAACAGTGAGTCAGTGGTAGAATTCAGGGAAGTCTGG